GGGGGGGGGGGGGCAAAAAGAGGGAAGCGGCTGATGATCAGATCAACTTTCGATACCCTCAAATGTTTCCCCACATAATCAATCCATATGACTCAAAAGCCTCATGTACTAGTAAGAACTCCCCACGCGACTCGTAGTTTTGATAGTGCCTACTGGTGTAACACCTACTTAAACAGCTCAAAAATGGATGTCTCCCATCTGTTTATCAAATTCTGATCGAACGAAAGATTCGGTAGAACTTGTCCGAGGAACTAGATTCATGCGACCACTTCAACTTGTTGGTAAGAGGTGCCTCTCAAAGGAAATAGCAATGGACCTCGATCCTCATGTGAACCACAGACGATTTCTCCTTATCATTCTTAAGTCGTGGAGTAAATAAACTAATACTCACCTGATAATAGAGAGTATCAGGGGTCTTCTCGTCGGGAGTGAAATGGAACAATGCAGCAACTTTGTCGGTATCACATTTCAAGTGGAGAGTTTTTCGGAAATCGGCGAACGTGGCAAATTGCGAATCGTCCACATTTTCTGAAACAATTCAGAATTAAAATAATAGATTGATGGATGCACAACAATTCGTAGCACTAAAAAAATTGGAAATCTGTGTAGCACCCGTTAACAAACCCTACAATTTTTTTTCTTGACAAAAAATTCCTGAGTAGTTCAGAAAGAAGGATTTTAAAGTGTTCACATTTCGGCTCAAGTGCAGTGCCTTTATAAACAAATAGTATAGAAAGTACTAGGTATGTTGTTGGGAGCGTGAGACTCGGGCTCATTCTTCTTTCTGGAGCTGTAGGTGATTTGGACACCTTACTGGACTTATTCAAATGCTCATAAACTTAAATTAATATCTGCATCTGCCGTTTTACCAGCCAGTGGATGGTTCCTTTGTTACCCGACTTACTTAGGAGATATACGGGAATCAGTCAAAGAGAGCTTCGGAACTACTCCACATTTCAAGAAAAGGAATTAGCTCGTATTGAAACTGATAAATTGTTAATAAATGTGCACAAGTATTATTAACTATAAAGTTTTCCTGTTCCTCACGGTTTTGTCAAGTTAAGTGGTGCGTACAAACGCAACTTGGAATTACTAGTCAGCAGAAGAGCAGAGAACGCCGAAACGGCGATCTTTTTGCTGAGACGACACTTACTAATGATAACGGCATTCGCAGGTTTTTCTATGAAGTTATCGGGTAGGCTTGATTTGATAGCGGGGAACACTGCTACCAGACTAAGAGAGAGCCTTATCAAAATTTGCTCTTCGCCCCCTATTGAGAAGAGATATTATGAGTGGTATGCGAAAAAAGCATCATGTCAAAATCGAATGCATATGAGTGGGTTCAGGATCGCCGACAACCTTCATAGAGCCTTATTGGAAGTGTTCGTAGCGATTTTGTTACGTTTTTGGTTTACTCATTAGCCAGATAAATTACTTACCGTCATTCGACCAGAGGCAAAGTCGACCAGATACACGTGATGGATCGGGCCCGGAGTACACGGTGACTTGCTGAAAGATTAACAGTGACTCGATGAAAATTCAAGACCTTGTTAAGCTTTTGTAATATCTTCCATTATTTCGAATTATTCGTGAAATAATCTATTTTTTCAAATGTTTTTCAAGAAACTCCCCTTAGTCTGCGTATCTACTGTTAGCTATGGTCATCAGCCACAGTTTCAAGGGAGCAAATGCCTCAAAATGAGGGTAACTCCAAGGTTTTTAGGTTTTACAGTAGTACTACTGTAGGTTCAAATCGCAAAAAAGATTTCTGTAAAGTACATGAAAGATTTGAAGGTGCTTGAAAAGTTTTTCTCTGTGAGGATGCACATCAGTACCTTCCTTGAGATTGGTTCAGATTCACCTACTACGTTTATTCATGGTCAGAAGGTGGAAACAGTATTGTATGAAAACCTGTTCAACTAACCAATTCCACTATTATTATTTACCCTTTTCGTTATCTATTTACTATTTGTTTACTATTTTGATATTTTATCGTTTAATTTTCATTATTAAGTCATTGCAGAGGTGAACCCGACAGCTGTCATCAAGTTTTACCTCCTTCTCCTCATTGCTCAGCTTTCCATAACCACCAAATTGATCATCAGAAATATAAAGTGGATTGAAGAAATCAGATGTGGACTTGTCGGACCCGCCTTCGACTCTGAAATTCTTTACGTAATCGATTTCTGTTCCGATGAACTCGTCCGAAGAGTGCAACCGATTGTTTTCATGTCTCACGAGGTTTTTGATAGTCTGGACGACACCACGTAGGACGTGGGCACGTGCAAGGTTTCAACCCAATAATTTTCACAATCGTCTCTATTTTGGCTCAATGCCAACTGCAAAATATGAAAAATAGTATAGTCACTCACATAAATGTATAAGTTACACCGCGTTTCAAATAGAGATCAGCTAGCATGCCATTCACATACCACACGTATTTTGATGGTCGAGCTCGGGTCATCGACTGAAACCGCGATATTTTTGATTAACAAGAGAAAATGATATTTTGTAAAAATTCCGTACCTGATAGCCCTTCTTTCCACCGGGGGGACCAAGTTGAAACGTGAAATTTCGTCGATTGTCATTTCCTAGCAATGACGTCACCGGCCATCCTTCAACAGCGTTTGACGCGTCGTCAAACTAAACAGTTAGCATTACTGTATTGTATAAAGTAAATTGAATATGCGACATTAGGTCAGGGAACGAAAAGTTTCAGAAAAAATGGGATCATTGAATAAGTTTTGTTTGTTTCATATTCTTTTTTTGGAATTTGCTGAGGTTTCAACTTGGACGGCTTCGGTTCACTCAGGATCGAAAATTATACTTGAATCCCAAATGGAAGTAACTTATAGAATTTAGTTACTAGGTATGTTTCTGTAGTTCCCAAATGATCCCGAAATTTAATTTCACTTTTTCGTGACCTCAGCACCTTTCTGATAAATTTTATCCATTCTTACACATTTCGAATTTTTTCTCTTTTTTTTTCTTAACCATTTTTTTNACACTTACTCGTTTTTGTGGTGGTACATATGGAGGAATTCGTGATGACACATTTGAAATAGCCACGTGGCCGAAATCGACACGGAATTTGTAACAGTAAATGGCTAGCCAGTCCACATGTTGAATATCGTAATCGGCCGGTAAGTCAATGATAAGATCTTGACCCCCACGATACCGCTCGTTCATCGCTGTGATCCTGAAAGTAATAGTATTGTAAGTATTACTAGTTGACTGCCCTATGAAAACCCTGTCAACTGAACTTACATTATGCTGGCAACAAGGAAAATGTTGCAGAAGCGATAGAAGCTTTTTCTTTTAAAAGCAATTTTAACACCCGCTATATTGACAAGCATATTGTATACCCAAATAGGTTGATTCCCGTAGTATGACTAATTATTCTTCGAATAAAGCTCATCAGAATGAGTAATACAGACAGTACTGTGTACTAGAAAGTACTGCAGACGACAGGTAGAGTAGAGTAAGTAATGAGGAGTTCCCCAAGAAGTTCACATGCTATGTCTGCATGACAGGAACAGGAGGAACTGCATGATGTCCTTGGGGTGGGCGAAGGCTGTCCTGTAGTCAGAGATCACGAGAGATGGTGCCACCTACGGCTGCTGAGGTGGTTCTGCTCTGATATCACAAACGAGACGAGTAGGTGGCTGGCCATCATCACGTGTTGTCCACATGGTGGTGAACGGATGGAACGATAACCCTCCCGAACCGATTGTATCGGGGAGTTTAAGTTTTCGCGCTTTTCAATGAAATCGTTGATAGCGAGTAATCGCGAAAGATACCGAGCGCAGAAAGTGTCCATGATGATCTTCAAAACCGAGAAGTTCTCAGCAAAGGTTTTTTGGGGGTTCTAGAGCCACAGAGTGAAGGTTTTCTAGACGATTCCCACGCTTTTCTGAAGAATTCCAACAAAATTCGTCCAACGATTGCGGTCAGGGATGGATCCCGGTATCTTTTTCCTAAGGGACGAATTAGAGATGGAAAGTTGAAAGATATTTTCAACTAAGAAAAGGTACTTTCCAGTAACCAGTCAGCCAATGCACTTACCATCTGATTTCATTATCAAAATCAGATGGTAAGTGCATAATTAAACTGCAAGGGACTGAAATCAGTATCGAAATTTCGTCGATTGGTTTTTCTTCTGACTTTTCCTCGATTAATGGAAACCATTTTGCCTATCACAGATTTGGCTTGAACATGAAGCGCAAAATGCTTTTCTGAAGAGTTTAGACTGGTTTTTGCAAGTGTAATAAGGAAAGAAAAGTTGTCGGACATTGCTGCATGAGGTTCGAAGCTTTACAGGCCCGAAAAAGAATCAACAGGGAAGAGTAGTCCTGAGATGAGACGGTGTAGTGGCAAGTGGCCCACTATCTCACATACATGGTCACGGGTCCGAATCCCCTATCGAAGCCGTCTAGGCCAACCAGGCCTTCCATCCTTTCGAGGTTGGTTAAGAGGTACCAGACTCGTCTGGGAGGATAAAAGCACTGACTTGTACATCGGATGGCCACCGCAAGTCATTGTACAGGCCACATTCACATTCAGTACTCCATTAAGATTCTGAATGGAAGTCGAAGGCTGTGGTGGATTCTTCAGAAGGGATTGATTAAAGCCGAAGGAGTTTATACTTTACATCTCAAATATCATAAACCGGCTCCCTTTCACTGAACAATATGACTCAACCTCCTCCCCACTGTTTCTTTATACCCTCCCTCCTCCTCCCTTTACTTTATACGACTCTCCTTCAGTGACCAATTACGACTGACCTCCTCCCGTCAACGACACTGATTTGGCTGGCCCTGTCGTTGAAACCTGGGCTGAATTAGAAAAAGGCATAGCTATCACCCTAGAAAAGGCGTTTGTCACTCTATCACTGGCCTACATACGTTGATCTTTAGCTTCCAATCTACTACTTACTGGATAACCTTACTTATACTTCCTTGCAATCACGCACCCCTTAACACCCCAATCTGGAGTCTGGTTTGGGGTTTATCTTGGAAAAGTGAGTTAAAGCCTCTCTCGGATTTAAAAGCACCCCTACGGAATTCTCTCTTCTTGGTAACCCTTCTTGAAAGGTAACGACCACACGAAAATCTGGGAGGTTATTAATCACAATGACTAGTCAATTGTGTGGCTTAGAAAACAGACGATTTTCGTTCAAATTGTTTTTCATTCATTTTTATTCTTTCAGCTAAACTTCTGTAAGAGAATCATACTAACAATTTGTATTTTTGTTATATTGTTGTATTTTTGTATCACATCTGGCAACACGATTTGCTGGATTCACTTTCACTGGATTTGCTTTACATCAAAATGAGCCTTTTTACTTTGGCTGACTTGCTGCCCAAAAATACCAGGTGAAGAAGTCATAAAACTGAAAACTTCGTTGTCTTCAGAACCCTAGAGGTTACGAACGTTCGGTTAATTGGAGGGACTATGAACCCCACGTTAAAGTTGTAGCTTTCAAATAGTTCGGGGCAGTTTTTCAGTTTCTCTCACTGCGGCTCTATCAAGTTTTCGTCGGAATTTTCTTAAGGACATTAAAAGGCCTTCAGTTTTTTCGAATAGGAAAAACTATGCAGCAAGACATGATTTATAGTTCACCTTGTTTTCCTGTTCAGTTAGTCAACCGATTCCCTGACGCGAAGGTCTTTTTACGGTTCAGCTGCTACGATGAACAATCTCGTCCAGGACGGATGCCCAGTTTTAAGACAGCCCCCATAAGTCGTGTTGGCTTGGGTTTACCTATACCTGACTAACCAGTAACAGCAACTGGTCTTTTCTATCGATGCCAGAGGATGAGAAGAAACCCTTCTCGTTGTGCTAATGGGTCCACAAAAGTACAGTCTGAAGTAGTCGAAGTCCAGGCCCTGCCGGCTTTGTGTTCATTGCCATCCCGGCTGGAATAGATGGCAAATACATCTCAACTTCTTATGTAAAAGTGGATTCAAAGAGCTTTGTGGTGGCGTTTTTTTTCCCAAAGTGCCCACAAAAAACGGTAAATAAAGAAAAATTTGATCTCACAGAGAGGTTGTGAGAAAATCACGCGAACGAAGCCCGCTGTCTAAACAGTGGGACCACCTGACCAGCAAACAGTTTTTTTTAGACGGAAGACGATTAGGTCCTCAATAGCTAATGGGAACGTCGGCGGTTACTGTAGTACTACCTCGAAACTCGAATTTTGAAGGAAGGGAGTTCCTAATCGGCATGTCAAAGTGGACGAGTTGACCATCATCCCCATCAGAGATCATCGAAAGCCGATTAAAGGGGCAGCTGGCAGCTGTCATGACCCCGTCTCGACAATCTGTCAGAGCATGAGGTTGTTTACTTGGTTTTGTACAGTGCATAAGTTAAACTACAATTGTTATTATTGATTGCCTTTGTTGTTTACCGTTTTCACAAAACTATGTCTACCCGCCCGTTCCCCTCAGCATAACCTTTACTCGAACCCGTTGTAACAAAAGCTGTTTACACAAAATCCCTCTACTGATAACAACATCCATCAAACCACGAATCTTTCGGCTTTGTGTAGACCAGCTCAGATCAGTAGATGAGGGACGAACATCTCCACTCTCCTAGACAAAATCCTTACGAAACGAAAGGAAACACCTACAATTCCGGTGTGTCACGGCCACGAATCGGCACTTTCACTCCAGCGTCATGTGCTACATTTGGCCCACGTCCAACAAAGAAGTAACCATCTGAAACAGTCACTGAAACCTTTTTGAAAGCCAAAAATGATGCGAAGACTAGTTTCTACAGAATTACGGAAACAACCCGTCTACATACCTGGAGCTTTGTCGGCGTCAAACGTGAAACCGAAGATTTTGATCGTACGCTTGTCCATGATGAGAATTGGCCCTGAGCCAACGGAATATCTGAAACAAATAGCAGTACAGATTTTGTACCAGTTTTGAAATGATGTTTTGTGGTCGATTTCATGAAGTTAGGATTAAACTTACCGGCTCCCCTTCAGCTCGCTGGCTAGAAATTGTGGTCGTGGAACAATCAGATTCTCGGGAATGACGACTGAGCCGAAATTGTGCTGAACAGGTAGAAGCCTCATTTTTCCAATTTTGTTCAAATTTTTAGCAATTTGTCCAAGATGGAAGCTCAGGTTTTCTTCCGGTAACCTACTAACCTCATATTTGTAGCAGAATAAGGAGAAGCTCTTGAAATTCGTGATTTTATGCCGTCCTGGAAGTGTAAGTACCACTTGTTCGGCATTATCGTACTTTCCTAGGGCGGTGATTCTGTAACAACCGATACACTAGGATATCGGTAGGTCTTCCTTTAGGCCCAGGCTAACTTACCCATACTCAAATGATGGAATTTTCACACCATCCTGTGTCGGGCTCTCTTTACGGTCCATCCAGAAGTACAAGTCTGAAAAACAGGACGTTGCTGCTTTCACTCATACGATTATCTCTTCTTTAGCCTTCCTGATCGCTATTCGGGTATGTTTTTTGACTCATACGATTAGGACGGGGGTTAATTGTTGGTGCGTTGCCACCTCAAAGGTCGCCCTCACTAAATCACTTCCCGTCTATGGCACCCTCGATTTCTTGCAACCTTCACCTCTCTCGACACGACAGTCATATTAAACGGGAATAATCGCTCATAGTCCTTGGTAAATCGTGTAGCGAACGGGCGGCGGCAGTTACAGATTGTAAATTACCATAGGTTAATGCTACCCCTGTGTGACGATAAAATCGAGATCGAGAGTTAGCTGAGAATAACCGTAAAGGAGGTACACCGCAGATATGGTCACTGATCCTAGAAATGGTGACAAAGCACTGGAATGATAAGAGCACATCAGCACTCCTACAAGAAGTAATAACCGATGCTACAGAGCGATATCCCGACATATTCAAATTCCAGTAGAAACCGGTCCCTACGGCTCAATTTGGCTTGAAACGCGATTGAACCGTAGTAACCGTGAATTTCTGCATTTGTTCGGTGCAGACCCATACGCACACCTAGCAGAGTACTGTAGAGGTTTCCCGAGAAGAAAAAAACGAGAGAAATGCTACCCACTAATACTCAATACTTTTTTGGGAATATGTATATTACTAACAGATGCGAGTAGTTTGTACTCATTATTTGTTCGCATTTACTGGGCTTTTACTAGTTCTTCCTTAGTCTGCGGATTCCTTTCGTCGGATGTGAAAAAATGCAGGGGGAAAGAAAATTTGGGCTATGGGTCTGAGATTTTGCTGACTAGGATTGGAAGGTTGAAGAAAGTGGCCTTGGTTCATACTACATATGCTATACTAACTTACTAGTTTCATGGTGTAACACTACACCACTGTTACAGTTTTATAAAAGTGAGATGGTTAGAAACATTATTTACCATAAGGAAGTGAACCCGAATAGAAATTGG